ATATATATATATATATATATATATATATATATATATATATATATATATATATATTATATCAGAGATTGGTGGCGCAGAGGTTAGAGAAGGTGGGCCTGCGATCGGAAGATCGCCGGTTCAAGCCCCAGTACTGACAACATCAAAAATGTGGGTGGGGTAGGTGAAGCACCCACACCTGCCCCCACCCTCATACATCCCACTCTGGGCCTTTGAGCAAGGCCCTTAACCCCCACCATCTGCTCCTCTGGGTGTCCTAGATAGCAGCTCTCTGCGCCACACAGAGGCTGTGGTAGCTCGGTGGTTTGTGGTTGCGTCATGAAGAACATCCGGTGTAAAAATAACTGCCAAGTCTAAGTGCGACTTAATTCACTGTGGCGACCCCTAAAAAAAGTGAGCAGCCGAAAGAAGAAAAAAAAAACATTATATATCTATATAAATATATATATACACACACACACATATAAACTTGAACTTCCGGTAAGATGGCTCCCGTGTACATGGCTTGCAATCAGAAATCAGTAAAAGCTGCTAAATGCAAATACTTCTTTGATATAATTACCTCAAACTCTCACAACCCACGTGTCCTCTTCTCCACCCTAAACTCTGTTCTCCACCTCACTGAACCATCACCTCTGGAAGCCTCGACTGAGCTGTGTGACAACTTCCTACATTTCTTTGTGGAAAAAATTGCGACCACCAGAGCTCTCATTTCCCCTCCAACTCATGACCCATCCATCCCACCTCAACCTGTAGCTCCTTTTGACCATTTTGAAACATCACTCTATCTTCTCTAGAGCAGGTCATGTGCAGCTTGAAACCTTCTGGCTCCCCCTTTGATGTGGTCCCCCCTCGACTACTAAAGGAGGTGTTTCCAACTCTAGGTCCGTCCATTCTTGATATAGTAAACAGTAGTTTATCCACTGGAGTGGTGCCAAAATCCTTTAAACATGCTGCCGTCCAGCCTCTCCTGAAAAAAACAAACCTTGACCCCTCAGTCGTGTCCAACTACCGGCCTGTCTCCAAACTCCCATTTGTTTTTAAAGTACTGGAGAAAATAGTCGAGTCCCAGTTGAAGTGCTTCCTGGAGGATCACACCATCTTAGAGCTTTTCCAATCTGGCTTTAAACCTCTCCACAGCACTGAAACTGCCCTGCTGAAGGTCTTTAACGACATCTGCAGATTCACAGATACCGGTGATTCTGTGCTGCTTGTCCTGTTGGACCTCACAGCTGCCTTTGACACCATCGACCATGAGATCCTCATTGCTAGGTTGGAGCAGTGGGTGGGCGTCACAGGATCAGCCCTCAATTGGTTCAGATCTTACCTCGCTGACAGATCCTTTTGTGTCTCCATCAAGGATTTTAGTTCCGCAGAGGCAGAGCTTAAATAAGGGGTTCTGCAGGGGTCCATCCTGGGTCCCCTCCTATTCTCTTTATACCTGCTGCCGCTTGGTGCTATTTTCCAGAAACACAACATGCCCTTCCACTTCTATGCCGATGACTGTCAGATTTACTTCCCCCTAAGACACAATGGTACATGCTCTATTCAACCGCTGCTCGACTGCCTGGCTGACATCAGGGACTGGATGGCTTTAAATTTCTTAAGTTTCAATGAAAAGAAGTCTGAAGTCATGTTGTTCCCTCCCAACGACACAATCACAAACCACTGCATCGACCTCTCCGCTCTAACCCTGTCAGAAAAACAAAGAGTCACTAATCTGGGCGTGATAATGGACCCTTCCCTGAAGCTTAACAATCATGTAAACATGATTGTTAAGTCATGTTTCTTCCAACTGAGGCGGCTGTCTAAACTGAAGCTCCAAAAAGAACCTGGAGACAGTAATACATGCATTCATTACATCTAGGCTTGATTACTGCACTTCACTCCTGTTTGGTATCAGTCAGACCTCCATTGCACGACTACAACTGGTCCAGAATGCAGCAGCCCCATTTTTACCCAGTACAGGCAAAAGAGAGCACATTACACCAGTTTTGGCCTCACTGCACTGGTTACCAGTTCACCTTCGAATCCAGTCTAAAATACTCAAGTATGTCTACAAATCAATGAACAGTTTCGCCCCCCGCTATCTCTCTGATTTGCTACAACCGTATGTCCCACCACGCTCCCTGAGGTCAGCGGACCAGTTGCTCCTCACAGTTCCAGGAACTCGTCTTAAGCGCAGAGGTGACAGGACCTTCTCTGTAGCAGGACCAAGACTTTGGAACGAGTTACCTCTGCTTGTCAGACTGGCACCCTCCCTCTCGGATTTCAAATCCCGTTTAAAAAAAAACAGTACTATTCAGTAGCTTTCAACACCAGAGGATCTGTGTTTTGATCTTGTACGCTCCACACTGGTTTGTCATCATATTTATTATCTGCATCGTTTTTATGTCTATATTTTGATTTACTTCATTTTGTATATTGCTTTGTGTGTTGCCTGTTGTTCTGTCAGTACAGCACTTTGGTTGGCCTTGTCGCTGTTTTAAGTGCTCTATAAATAAAATGGTATGGTAT